GTTTAGTTAACACTCGAAGGTGATTGGGCTCTCGGGCGAGATCCCAATTCGTCAGTCACGACTGACGTAACGTCGAACGTGACTGACTGAAAGGGAAGAAGTATATCAATATATTTCTTAACAACAATTGGACAGGAATTACCCATTAGTCACTGCAAACCGCTTCAGTCATTAAAACAAACTATAGCTGCAGTAAGTGTATATATATATATATTGCAAAGTTTTTAAACACAACAAAGATTACTGGAGTACATTTTACAAGAAAATACAATTTCAGTCTTTATACTTTTAATTTGAATGAACAAAATTTCATTTGAATTCAATGTGCTACTTGTTGTTTCTTTCTAATTCAAAGTAAGTCCTACTGTCTTCAATGTAGGCTGTTGTCATGACAGTACAGACTACATCAGATACAGTAGGTGAGCATTAAAATTCATGACCATTACATAATGACACATTACATTAAAATTCATGACCATCACATGTTGCAAATGAACGTTGTAAATGAACTAATATATACATATCCCCACAATATTACTGATTTTACTTTATTTTTTGCATAAGAGGTGAGCACAAGAGGCTTTCAAAAACATTAAAAATCTTACCAACCCCAAACTTTTGAATGGTAGTGTATTTGCCATCATGTCATTCCAAACCTGCATGACTTTCATCAGTGGAAAACATTAGAACTAACTGTCAACTTCTCATATCCACTGCTAAGTGTGAAGGAAGCCTGTGAATCAGAACACTTCAGGCTCTGCACCGTTATTACTCACTGTGTCCCTTTGATTTGTTTGCTACTGAGACTCAAGATTTGTTTAGCCACTCTTGAGTATTATTTGTGTAATATATAGTATTATTCTCGAAATAAATGGTGCAGAACAAGTCATGATGAAAAATGCTGCTACACACATCCAGGATTAACAGATGTAGTGAAGGTGCGAGCACAATGCTATAACAGAAATCTTCCCAAGGCCAAAGACTCACTCAATGTCACACAACATTAGGACCGACATGCTGGGATGTCCCTTGTAGAAAGTGTATGATCAGTTCTGGTGTCAGTCTGACCATGCAGAAAACATTAGAGGAATAGTTCACCCATAAATGTTCTGTAAATTTACTCTGTAATGTACATGAGTTTGTTTCTTCATTGGAACATTTGGAGAAATTTAGCATTACATCACTTGCTCACCAATGGATCCTCTGCAGTGAATGGGTGCCGTCAGAATGAGAGTCCAAACAGATGATAAAACATCAAAATAATTCATCTTGTGAAGTGAAAACCTCTGGGATTATAAGAAACAAATCCATCAAGACGTTTTTTTCTTCAAACCATTGCTTCTGGCTAAAATATGAGTCCTCTATCCATAATATTGCTTTCTTCAGTGAAAAAGTCATATTGTATGAATCAGGAGAGAAATATGAACAGATCAAGGACCATTTAAAAGCGAAAACATAGAATTATAAAGAAATAAGTTGATGGTTTTCATCTGAGGAAGCGTTATTATGGATTATGGAGTTGTAATTGGGCAAAAAGTGTCTGTTTAAAGTTAAAACGTCTTTATGGATTTCTTTCTGATAAACCCACAGCCCTTTGCTTCACAAGACATTAATTGATTGTCTGCAGTTGTGTGGATTATTGTGATGTTTTTATCAGCTGTTTGAACTCTCATTCTGACGGCACCCATTCACTGCAGAGGAAACATTGCTGAGCAAGTGATGTAAGCTAAATTTCTCCAAAACTGTTCAGATGAAAAAACAAACTTATCTACATCTTGGATGGCCTGAAGGTTAATTTTCAGCAAATGTTCATGTATGGGTGAACTATTGCTTTAAAAAAAGCCACAGACCAGCACTTTTGCAAAAGCATCTTGTGTACATTGACTGCATCTGAAATACAGCGTGACATGCGCAGAAACACGAGGACCATCATCACATTATATAAATAATCTTTCTCCTCCTTCCTAATTGAGTGACTAATATCAGTGAAATAGGTTTATATAACAAGCCCACATGTTGTGAAAATGCAGTTAGCCTCCTCGCTCTGGCTCTGGCATGGATTCGTTTTACATTGCTCTATCCCATCAGTCTTTCTCAGTCTAATCTACAGCTTGACTCATGTACTGGACCACCAACAGCTCGGCATGGACATGGATGAGTGCTGGTATAACAGATATCATGAAACGGAGCCATGCATTTATATATTCTCATAATTTTGAACATCTTGCCTTAGTTTTATATGCACAGCATGGCTTGTGGTAAAAAAAAAATGGATTCCTTCCATCCAAATTCAGCATGAGCTTGGACTTAAAATAGCACTTATCTGTTTACTACTTAAAAATGTTGCCCTTTTCATAAAATAAAGAGGTTAGTTATATTCACGCTCAGGCCATCCAAGATGTAGATGAGTTTGTTTCTTCATCAGAACACATTTGGAGAAATTTAGCATTACATCACTTGTTCACCAATGACACCTCTACAGTGAATGGTTTTGGCTCAAGATATTACTTTATGGTCATAGTCATGTGGATTATGAATGGTTTTTATCAGCTGTTTGGACTCTCATTCTGACACCACCCATTCACTGCAGAGGATCCATTGGTGAGCAACTGATGTAATGCTAAATTTCTCCAAATTTGTTCTGATGAAAAACCAAACTCATCTGCCTCTTGAATGGCCTTAGAGTGAGTACATTTTCAAACGTATATATATATATATTTATTTTTATTATTATTTTTTTGAGTGAACTACTTTAAAAAAAATTTCACTAAGAAAAAAAGTTATTTTTTTCAGCAAATAATGATTCAGATACGTACAAGCCAAATTACATGTTTAGAGTCATTATAAATGTTTGTTGAAAATGCTATGAAAGTTTTGAATACTAAGAGTACATTATTAAGAGCTTGCTTGGCACAGAAAACTAGAACTATTTATACAAGAATTTTCTTCATCCTGTACTGCTATTTATTAAAATGCTGACCAATTTGTGCCAAGATGTTGCATTTCTTTGCAAGAAAAGGCACTGCGATATGTAAAAGGAAGCACTTAACAACTGTGTGTTCAGGGTCATACAGTCTTTCGAGAAAAACAACTTCAGGCTCCAATAAACCGTTGATGGTACATTTTCCTCTGATTAAAGTAAGAGGATGCTTCATTTACGCTGGTTTTCTTTAGTAGATGGTTTAATTTGAATCAAACACATCACTTCCTCATAGAGGGTCAGACTTTTGTTCTTAAACTGTGATTTAAACATGTAATGTGTTTGATGAAGAAAAAGAAAAATAGCTTTTATAAATATAGCTATTCAAGTGAATTATGGGGTGGAGCATTCTCAGACCAGAGAGCATTTGATTGGACAAACATTTGTACACACCCCTGAGTGCAAGATGAGTCATCGTTTTTTGTTGTTGCTTTTCCAGAATAGAAAAACTTTTTAAAAGCAAACATTTTAAATAAACATTTTAAAAGCAACATTTGTCAGCATTTAGGAATACAGTAGCATAAATGGCCTTAAAGCTTAGGGTGTGTGATTTTGAAGCCCGAGTTGTATTGTGTTGCAGTGACAGATGTGAACACATGTGGGCAGTGTGGTGCAGAAGCAGGGCTCTTGATGCTCTATCACATTCAGCACAAAGGCTCATCCTTGACACATTGTCTGGTTGTAACCACTGTGTCAAAGCTGCTGCTCAGATGAAACGGACAGTGGCATGTGTGCTGGGCAATGAATGAGTAATGAATGCGAGTTATCACAAATAGAACCAACAGTTTGCTGGATAAGTGTACTGTATGTATTTAGTGTATGTGTGTTGTAATAGTAGTGGCAATGATAGTACTAGTTAATGAATGAATTTCATAAAGCCTGTCAAGAATACATACATATATACATATAAAAATTTAAGGGGGTCTGAATACTTTCCGTACCCACTGTATATACAACATACATATATCCAGGTCAAAATTACATTTTGCTTAGAAATGAAGGCTGTTAAGCATGTATTTAGTTTCTCGTGTGAGGAATAAATGCCTGAAAATATATACAGAACCACGAATGTCAAGTTCCTACAAGGATATGTAAGACAATGTGTGTGTGTTACAGTAACAGGAGAGAAGTGTGGGGTGAATGGCTGGTCAGAGCCTCTCAGTGGGAGTACCATGATCAGGACAGTGAAGAAGAGAAACAAGACTGAACACAGACACATGTTCTGTACACATAAAAGCCCTTTAGAGCTATCTGTATCTGTAACTCTGTAGAAAAACTGACATGGAGGAGACTGGGATGAGTTTCCTCAATAACTGTAAGGCTTAAATGCGGTGTTATGTTGGTTTCAACCATGTAGTGTTAGATGTAAATTATATTTCATTTAGATGCACTAAAATGTCAATATTATCAGATTTTCTGTTATAGCTTTTAGGTAAACAAACATGAAAAAAAGTGTCACATTAAGGTAAGACTCAACAGTCAACTATATAGCTAAGGCATATTATGACATTCAAATTGAATTCATAAGCAACAATATTTTTCAACCCAAGCTCATTCAAAATACCTGCACTTGGCAACATTTCAGCAAACTGATATTACATTGCTTCTTGCACGATTTGCAACACTTTCATAGTGAAATGTCCAGTGCGTGTTCAGATGAGCGTGAATCTGGAAAAGTTTTCAAGTACATATGGCGGCAGTTTGAAAATGAAATGTCCAGTGAGTTGAGCTAAAAGGTTCATGCTCATTTGAAAATAACGTAGAAATAAACCCTATTCAAACCTAATCAATATTGATAACAAAAGCGATTGTGAGATTGCTAAAGCATCCATGCCATTTTAGCTTGCTTCTATACAAGTTTCATGGGACTCGTACCCAAGCTCATAGCAAACTTAGTGCTGTACCAGGTGAGCTACCAAGCAAGTTTACTACATCAGAAAAGCCATATACAGAGCTGGCTATGCGATATATTATTTTACAAACCATGCACTATGGTAAATGTGTTCTGAAATCATAACATAGTAGGCTATTGTGCACACAAATAAGTCTTTATTAATTGATTTTGAATTTGCCACTGTAATCATAATTTGTGTGAATGGGAAATTGTTTTACAGCCACTGTTCATTTCAGCTGTAAACTGCAGTGAATTGAATGTAAAGAAGTTTTGAAAAAATATAGTTAGAGGCATTTACCAATAAGCCTAACATTTTTTCTCCCTGTGTTTATGTGATGTAATTTTTCATGATTTATTATTGGCCAAAACAATGTTTTGACACCTTTTCCATTTTGGCCTGTTAATGAATTTTCTTTGTCATAATTGTTTTACAATTGTTAACCATTGCTCAAAGCCACTAATTAACCTATATCAGTATTTTTAAACAGTTTTTTTTTCTGGTGTACCCCACAGCACTCAACACCAAACCTGAAAAAAAATTATTCACAGTATACTGAATTATTCATTGAGTATAGAGTTGCTTCCTCCGTCCAGTGTCGATTATAATAATTGTAGTATATGCATACATTACAATTAATCATTTTAAACATTTAATTTTTATGGGTTGCCCAAAGTGCTCTCTGCTATTTTGGACCTTTTTTTTTCTCTCAGAAAACCTGCTCAAATCAATTTTGGAGGTTGTCAGTTTGGGTCATGCCTCAGCATTCAGTCAGGTTAAAGGTGGGTGTTCTTCAAATGCTTGAACCATTTGGCCAGATATTTGCCGCTGTGTTTGAGGTGATGTTATTCTGAATGACTCACATTCGATATAGGTCACGCATCCTGACATTCTCCTGTGAAACTCCAGTGTAATCCAGATTTCGCTGATTGCGAGATGTCTGTGTGCTGATGATCTTCCATTACAACAGTGAATGGCTGGACACTGTGTTCAGAGTTCTTGTGGAGGGCAGTGATTTTCTCCCGTGTCATCTTATACTTTTCTTCTTGCATGTTTTTCTAATAGTGGATTTGTGAACCGTGAGTTGTCCGTGCCTGCAAACCCTTAGCTGTTACTGCGATTTTGATAGTGACCTCTTGACACTTTTGCAGGAATAGTAAGGGTAAATATAATTGTATGTAAATGTAAATCAGTGTTTGGGAAGATACTTTGAAACTGTAGTCTGTCAAGCTATTAGCTATATTATTTAAAATACTAAAGCTACTATCAAACTACACTTCAGAAAAGAAAAGAAAAAAAAAAGCCCTGGCTAATTACTTTGAAATGTGATATCTTTATAACCTACAGTATATGACTATATCAAACGTGCTACACAGGGACTTCTGGGAAAACTGTTATGACTCATAACCAGTGTTTTTTTTAAATGAATCGCACATAGCAGCAGATTTGCTACAATGAATAACAAATGTGCAAAATACATTGTGACAAAAACAGGTCTGTAACATTTTGTTAAATGTAACCTACTTGTATAATTTATAAAGTATAAGTAAATACAAGCATGAAGTAAATTACAAGTGTGTGCAGTTGTACTGAGACCCTTGTGAAAAATAATATTAATACAATTAAGTGTACTTTCATGACTAATTTAAAACTAAAAAAAGTTATATTTTAAAGTACATATAAATCTTTATGTTTTAATATATTATGTTTTAAACAAGTACACATATTTTGATGCATTGACTAACATAGTAAATCCTATGTAAAGTGCATTTGTGAGCCTCCGGGCTTTCAGCCCAGAACTTAGGAAGAGGAGCCCTATCCTCTTCGGTGTGACACAGTCGCCGCGCCATACACAGCTCACCCTCAGCCGCGGTGTAGGGGGCGGATCTCCTCTCCGCGCTCACACCGTCCGTGGCTTTCTCCCTCGTGGTTGGCGTTGTTGCCGGCTCACACACTTTGACTGATGTCATTTGCAGCTCCGGCTCCGTGGCGATCCTCTGCACTGTCGCTCCGTGCGGCGATGGCTCGTCGGTCGTGGTGGGCTCCGGCTCTCCGTCAGCGGTGGGCTCGGGCTGGGCACTGGGTCGGGAGTGGAACTGGCGAGATTCTCCTGGGAACAGGCGGAGAAGGGAGATCCATTTCTCGCCAGTGTCCACTCCACAAAGTGGGGATCCATAGAAAAAACGGAAACAAAAATGGAGGGAACACTCGGAGGTAACTGTATTCGGTCGGGTCTTCTGTCACGATACGCTGGAGCACAGGCACAAAGAAACGAGGAGATGTGGAGAGTTCACAAAAACGAGAGTCTTTAATAATCCAACAGGGAGTCAAAGAGCACAAGGAAGACGTTTACAACAAGTAGACCCGACAAAGGAAGACTGAACAAACAGGAACTTAAATACAAGGGATAATTTCTAAACACAGGTGCACAGAATGACTAATTAACTAAACGAGGACAGGAACATGACCAAAAAAGGGAACACAGTAACAGAAACAGGGGCAAAACATAACAAAACAGGTCCATGATCCTGACAGTAGGCCCTATTTCTTTTTTCAAAATAGGAATATAGCTACAAGAGCAAATACTTGAAAGGATAACATATTTAAATATGTTTTTTAAAGGAAGGCTTTGTGTGTGATAAATGTTGTCTGTGCTGTTAACGGAAAGCGCTCATTAAATACCAGGATTTTCAACTATGAGGATTTATATATATTGCATGTAAATTACTTGTAAATGCTAAAGCCACTGCACCATGCACCTACTGAAAATAATTACAAACCATCATTGTGGTTCAACACTAATGCACAACAGAAAAAGTTTACAGGAAATAATTTCGTATCACACGAATGTGTGTGTCAGTGGTGGCGCAGACCTGGATATGTCTATGCTTTCTCTTATCTGCTCTCCAAATCTCTATTTTGCTAAAATAGCAGGACGCACCACGAGAATCAGATGAATACCTGCCATTCAGTCATATTAATTTGCACACGCAGTTACCGCTTCTGAAATTACCTTCATGCCTGCGAAATCACTTTGTGGGCACAATTGAATCCATTTGCATTTACACTGCCCTGTATTTTGCCAGTGTATAGAGGTACGGCCCAAATTACATATTCATTAACTCTCAAAAACTGACAATACACACTATTTTGCACATCTAACTATATTAATAGATACAAATCTCAGGGCCTTCCTTTGTAACGCAGAATGAGATGATAAATGAAAAAGCTCTCAGGCCTCTTTCTGCTCAACGTAACAGAGAAGATACAATGACCAGACTCAGGACGGACCGGCCTCAGGAGAGAACCATGAAAAAGTAATGCCACAACCCAAAATACTCTAAAACACATCCTCAGATAAACCCTGACATACACGCTAAAACACGACGTGAAAAAACTCTAAAAATCACTTTATTCGCCAACAGCATCTTTCATAGGCCTCTTAAATGGGCGTCCTTACGTGCTGCTTTCTATCTGCAAATCGAGTCTCTCAGACAAAAGACAGCAGTGCCAAAGTGAAACCCATTAGTTTCATTAATTTACTGCACTCTACTCACCTCGTGCCTCTTTATATTGTGCTACATAACAGGATCTGCAATTGCACAGTGAAGAGGAATGTTCTTTCATTCTCCGATTTTAAATAGATCTATTTAGTCTCCATCAATCCACAAAATATGTCCAAGCTTTCTTTCACGACACCTTTAAACCCTCACAAATATGGGATCCTTTCGTCCAGACAAGCCGATCTAGCACATGCAACGGACCTATTTGGTGCAGCTCCAAGTTGGGTGGGTGTGGTGGCCAGCTCATAATGTACCCCGAGTGGGCGCTGGATGCATACAAAAGCAGTTTCTGTTTATGTGGCCTCTTTTTGCATGATTTTAGAGCAGAAAAGGGCTGTTTTCAGGAAAAGCACAAAAGAATTGCGATGCCTCATCTCCACAGTTCAGAGGAGCATGTAAGAGTGAATAGAGGCTGCTTGGCTGGTTCATTCTCGTCTTCTGTAGGTACGCCAAGGAGGTTAAATGTAGCGATTCTGTGAAATAGGACGACCCGCTGGCACTCATATGAACAAATCAACTACAGGCTTTAGTGCTCCAAGAGTTATATTCATTTCCAGTGTTAAAATGAGGAATGTATTTGGATGCAAAGTAAACACCTTCCCACTGTGTGTCAGACAATACAAGTAGTTTAATATGTTATACATATCTTAAAGAGGAAAAAGTTAAAGAAATGGATGGTTGCAATAACACAAGCCCTTTCTATGGGGTGTTTATTCTGGTGTTTTATAGTGGAGAGAATGTCCTTCTCGGGTCACAACTCAAATTCCCCAAATTCCCTTTCGCAACTAACCGCTGATGAAAGAGTTCAGGAAAACCTTACATAGCAAACAATTGTTATTCCACTGCTGCTGCATTGTAATGATTTCAAATAAAACTGATTATTATTATTATTATTATTAGAAGAAGAAGAAGAAGAAGAAGAAAACAATAGTATTATTATTGGTGATGCTGGTCTTTATTATTAAAATATACCATTAAAAATATCTAAAATATCACATATTTAAAATACTGTTGTTTCTACATTAATTTGGAGATTTAATGTAAAGATATATGACTACAACTTTTAATGTTAGGTGTATTCATTCATTTGATGGACAGTCCAAAACAATTATTTTAATGATATTATGCAGTGAAAGATGTAGGTGTAGAATTTTTTTGAAAATTCACAAATAATTAAAAAGAAACATCAAATAGCACATTGAATTAAACATGAAATACATAATAAACAGTGTGAATGATGTTTTGCCCAGTGAGCTTTGAAGGGCTTCTAAAACTGTGAAACAGACTGACAAACATTACAGAGGGCTATATTCCCTGTCTGCTATCGTTGACGTCACAGCTCAGGATAATAGCTACTGAAAGGTTAAGCACTGTGTATTGTTTTTGTGGTGCTGTCAGCCAATAGCATTGACAAAATGTAAATGATATGGCTCTTGAGTAATTCATCAATTACAGTACATTTAAAGTTCAGGTAATTGTCTCAAAACAACCTGGCTGCTTATATCATCCCTTGATTTCCCTTACTCTAAATTTAGACATACTCTTAAAAGGTGCGATGTCACAGCTATGAGCTACAAGCAAAGTTAACATCTGGCCACATTTGCACATCAACATCTATTCACTAGTCACTGTGAAGTAATAAGGAATTAAGACATTATAATTATTCCTAAACACAATGGGGCTGTATTACAGAAACATCCTGACACTAGAATATCTTAACAGTTTAGGAACCATAGAGATTTCAGTTATAAACCTGATTGATCTCAACTCAGATCAGTAATTCAGCCCCAGAAGAAGATACTACTATTCATATTAATATTTAGATGTGCAGGACGTCCAGTGAATGGACCAACCTTAAAGGAATAGTTCACCCAAAAATGAAAATGTGCTTTAAATGTACTCACCCTCAGGCCATCCAAGATATAGATGAGTTTGTTTCTTCATCAGAACAGATTTGGAGAAATTTAGCATTACATCACTTGCTCACCAGTGGACCTCTGCAGTGAATGGGTGCCGTCAGAACGAGAGTCCAAACAGCTGATAAAAATCCACAAGTAATTCACATGATGACTAGTCCATCAATTAACATCTTGTGAAGTAAGAATACATGTTTGTACAAAAAAATAAAATAAATCCATTATTATGACAATTTTATCTGTTGTTGACTAAAATATGAGCCCTCTATCCCCAATATTGCTTTCTCCAGTACAAAAAGTCATCTTGTCTGAATCAGGAGAGAAATATGCACAGATCAAGCACCATTTACAAGCGGGGAGAAGAAGAAGAAGAAGAAGAAGAACACAGTTCAAAACTGTTCTAAATAAATATGTTGGTGGATTTTGATGTGAGAGGACAACAGGGATTTACTTTTTTTAACTGGAAGAAACATTATTATGGATTATGGCTTTTCCCTTCATGAGACATTCATTTATGGACTGGAGTTGTGTGAATTATCGTGATTTTTTATTTATTTATATTTTATCAGCTGTTTTGATTATCATTCTGACGGCACCCATTCCCTGAAGAGGATCCATTTATGAGCAAATTATGTGATGCTAAATTTCTCCAAATCTGTTCCGATGAAGAAACAAACTCATCTACATCTTGTATGTTCTGAGGGTACATACATTTTCAGCAGATTTTCATTTTTGGGTGAACTAAATGCTACAGTAAAAACAAACAAACAAACAAACAAACAAACATAAACTGTACCATATACCTTAAAATAGGCCTAATTGTAAATGGTTTAACATTGCATTATATCTTAATGTAAAATACTGTAAAATTGTTTTTTTGGGCAAGTAAAAACTATGAATTACCACATAAATTTACGATGAACAGTAAAAGCCCATTCCCAGGCAAGTTCCTGCGTGACAAAGGGACAGCGTCAAAACTGCCTGTGCAATTCTAAAGGTCACAGAGGTTGGAAAATTGTCACGCAAAACTTAATTACATATGTTTTTGTGTAAGAAACTTTGACTGACATTATAAGTGGATCTCAGGGCAGAGGGGGGAAAAAGAAATGTAAAAACGTTGTAGAATATAGCCACTTTAGTTGAAGTAATTTGCATTACCATTAAGAGAAAAAATTGTGGAGATAACACACCTGAATATTAATTTGTACAGTGAGTGTGTGATTTTTGACCCACCTAAGGCATGAAATGACCAATGTTCGGTTTTAGTAATTTTTTATTCATATGTGCTGATACAGGGTCGTACTGACCTGCAATGACGCAAACGCTTACATAAAACCATCCCCTTTGGCCAAAACAGCTGTCAAAGCAATGACGGTGAGAAATAAAACACATATCATTCTTCAATAATAACAGTAAATCACATTAACCCTCCTGTTACACGGGACACGAGCATCAAAATTTAATCAAAAAGCTGTTCAAATAAAACAATGAGTTCAGAACGAAAAAAAAAAAGTTACAAGATACATAACCTCAATGACATAATCATCACCCTGGCCTTTGATGACTACTACTTGTTTCTTCCATGTTCGATTTTCATCTTATACAATGTCTAATACTGCGTGATCACACAATGATGTACTTTAATGATAGTCCAACTCAAGAAGGCCTAATACATTCTAGGGTGATTCTGACCCTGCCCCCTTTCTCAAAACCCAACAAACCCTGACAGGAAATGAACACAATGCTGAACTAAATCACTGGGTGTTTCTTAAAGAAACTTGCTTGTATGATAAAGCGGTGATTCTTCTAGAAGACCGGTTAACACCCACCCATCTGCTGAACGCTGGTCCACACGGCCCCTCTGGGTCAAACGTAGTTAATATGCAAACATACAGTCAAAGGCATGCCTAAAAGAAGCTATAAAACAAGGTACAGCTTGCTTCAGATTGGTCCAACTTAAACATGTAAAAATGCCCTTCTGTACAGAGTACAAAAAACTACACAGCTCAGGCACGACTCGCATGTTAGTGTTTTGTGATCAGTGTAGGAACACTGTTTTTGGGAGTCTGTATTACCCAGAGCTCTGTGTTCTGGTGTAACCCTGCCTGACCGAGCCGTTGTTAAAGACTGACAGACAGCTGGTTAACAGTTAACAACATGAACCTCCCCCACTGGGCTCATGTCACAGTCTAGCATATTCTCAAAACTATGGTACGGAAGCTGTTTTTAGCACAGAAATACTCCAAGAGACCAAATAATACTACGTTATTAGTGTGTAGATGTTGGTTTAACAGCTCTGTGCCGGTTCCCTCTCTGTTTATGACAGTTTTTTTTCTTTACCCCTTTTCCACCGACACGGTGCTGGTGGCCAATCTGGCCCAATCCACACATTTCCTTCTAAGAAAAAAGCTAGTTCAGGGGCTCCACAACTGCTGTTTAAATCTCAAACCGAAAACACTTAAATGTCACACTTAACAGCCTATAATAATTGTAATTTTGCTGTCAATCTGAATGAAATGATTTTAATAAAACCGATATTTCCAACGTTGTTGTAAAATGCTGATACTCTTGCACTCAGATTGCATTGCACTGGACTATATGTGACCTTGGACCACAAAACCAGTCATAAGGGTCAATTTTTCGAAATTGAGATTTATACATAATCTGAAAGCTGAATAAATAATCTTTCCATTGATGTATGGTTTGTTAGGATCGGACAATATTTGGCCGAGATACAAATCTATAGTTTTGACCCATACAATGTATTTTTGGCTATTGGTACAAATATACCCCAGCGACTTAAGACTGGTTTTGTGCTCCAGGGTCACATATTATTTAGCATAAGAAATGTTTAGTCTGAACTAACTATTATACATTTGTATCTTTAATCATATTGCTGTTGCTATAATTTTCCACAATAATCACTCAACCCTGTCCTTTACAGTAATTATACCATGGTTAAAGGAGTTTTAGACACTCTTCTTCAAGTAGTGCATGGCCTCTTGTGGCTTATTGCTTTAATTTACAAAGGTTGTGTGTATGAAAAGATTAAAATGACTTCCTTTACAACATAGCCAGTTCATGATAAAGATACTGAATTTATGGATGGTAAAATACGCTCTCAAAATGACTAAATGTGTGGTCACATAAAAAAAAATTTCCACCAATTTCCTGCCTATCTATGATTAACCCAGAGGGGGTGCATGATAAAAAGGTCCACCATCAAAAAAGATCCACTGTCCAAAGTCAATAGCGTTGTGATGCACAAAGTACCCTTCACACAGAAGTCACTTTTGAAGCATGCACTATTCTGTAGGTCAACACTGTAAATGCGTGTGCAAAATTCCTATTGAAACGATTGGATTTTTGCCGGTGAAATTTTGCAAAGGTAATTGTAACCGCACCTTAAAAGACGTAGAAGCACTGTTTGTTTGTAGACAGGTTATGTAGTAACATACGCATCATCGTTCAGCTCTCAAGTCAGTGGAAATGTGGGCCAGTTGTAAAAGACATTCACACATCCTTTTAACACAAGCACCATTTCAATGGAAAAGGGTCTAAGTAAGCTCTGTCAGGATTGTCCCTTGTTCGGTGGCTGTGGTGGTGTTAAAATGCCTCTGTGTTACAGGAAGGTGTTGATCGCTCAGTGACTGAGGGATCCAAATAAAACATGTCATTTAACTTCAGGGGCTCTCTTTGCCTGTCAGACGTGGTGTGGCCGAGCAGGTGGGGTGCTTTGCCCAGGGCTGATAATTCATGTTGTTTTGACAGCAGTGAATGACTTGTTCATATCTCTCTCTCCCTTTTTATTATATCTATCCTACTATCTGGACATCAAGTCAACATGTGGCTCTAAAAGCGAAGCTCCTGTGCTACAGTACGGGATGGCTCATGATCAGAGGTCACGACTCGGGCTCTCTGGTGCCAACCCCCAGCTGAGGATTGGGTTGACAGCAAGGTGACAGACTGTCAGATCACAGGAGTGCAGGCCGGTGCGATGGCACCTATGTGGAGAGGGACAAGAGAGGGGTGTCTGGAAAGAGGACCTTTCATAGTTCCTCTCGGTCTCATAGGCCCATACAGAATCTGTGCTTACGATAAACTCAAGATTTCTGCAGAATTGGAACACGCGTCAATCACAAAGTTGAAGACATCTCCAGTCCCTTGAGTTCCATTATTAAAGACCCCATGACATATAAATGACAGTTTTGAGACGTTTCGTCCACGTCAAGTGGTTTTGTACTCTTAAACATTTAACTTTTAGAAGATACACATTTAAAATGTACTTTCTGTATTGAGAAAACCAACCAAATATTCTGATGACTCATCTTGCACCTGTGGGTATATACACATTTTTGTCCAATCAAACAACAGGAGTGCCCAAACCTGTTCCTGGAGATTTACCTTCAGCTCCAACCCTGATCCAATACACTTTGAACCAGCTAATTCAGATCTTCAGGAGCACTTGATAATTACAGACAGGTGTGTTGGAGCAGGTTTGGAACTTATGCTGCCTTCACGTGCTATCGGAATTATCGTAAATATGAGTTTCCTAATCGTAAATTGGACGTGAACGCCTCTCAAGTCGTATTTACCACTGGGAAACTTTTTAAACATTTTTTATTACCAGAGTTTCCGAGTTGGGCAGGCCATAAACTTTAAACATGTTGGAGGGGACAACCATTGCTGCCGTCTACTATATTCTCAGAATTACATCACTTTGTCTAGTCGTTAAAGTAGTTTATTTATAGGCTATATATGAAAGATCATTTGAAGCATATTGTATGTCCCATTATAAACAGTGAAATTAGCATGTATTTGAGCGAAATTCCAGAATTGTCAGCAAACTATCTACCACGGTGAATGTTTATATGATTGTCAACCAATGGGATTGCTACATTTTATTCTTCCCGACAACAAAGCACTTGAATGGGACAAGCTCGTAATCACAACTTCATAAGTGGGAAATAGGAAATTTATGATAGCATGTGAAGGCAGCAAGTCTGCAGTCTGATCTAGAATTTGAATGCTCTTCCCTTTAATTCCATCTGTCATCATGGATGACTGATGTAAACTAAAGGCTATTGGTTATATTAAAATGGTGGATATATCCAGACAGAACTTCTTGTGTCAAAAGGAAATTCAAAATAGGAAAGAAATCTGCATTCGTCAAGCGATTTGCAGTGGTTCTTTTCATATTTTGGAAAATTTCATTCAGCTACCAATAAAAGTGTAGCACTCGGAGCTCAACCGAACACATTTTATCATATTTAAACTCTTTCCGCATAAAAATGGGGAAAAAAGCTGGCAGATTCCGCCT